ACGTTTTTCTTTATAGAACCCAGCTTTTTGAATTATTTGCTCAGCATACAAGTTGAATAAGTACGGTGAAAGAATACAACCTTCCCAAGTGGGGGAAGAACAAATAGATAGAATTTGTCAATTTCTTCATTATTGGCTTTGCTGGTTGATGCATAAATTTGAATAATAGTTATGTCAACTGGTCTTCCTTGTGGTGGTGGCTGTGTGCCATGGAGTGGGTTCAGACTCATAGTGACCCTGTACAGGGTTTCCGAGGCTATAAATCTTTAAGGGAGCAGAAAGCCTCATCTTGCTCCCGGGGAACAGCTGGTTGTTTTGAACTGCTAACCCTGATATTCGCAGCCCGATTTGTAACCAATATGCTACCAGAGCTCCTTGGTCTCCCTTGTAGATGTATACATATCATCCTCTCACAAACAACGTTTTATTTCAAAATAGATCTTGAAAATGTTCTTTTTGATGATGAATGTTATGTCAATACTCTTCAATTTGTCATTCCTGACATGACATATGCAAGTAAATTATGGGTGTCATATTCAAAATAGTCAATGACAGTTCATTTCAGCTCACCAATTCCTGAGATGCTGATCTTTATGCATTTCATTTCGTTTTTGACAACTTCCAATTTTCTTAGTTTCACACTTCATATATTCCATATTTTCCAATATCTAATAAATGTTGCAGCTGTTACTTCTCATTTTAAGTCTATCCCCATCAGCAAATGAAGTTTTCAAAAGCTTTGCTCCATCCACATCATTAACGTTGGTTCTACTTTGAGGAGGCAGCTTTTCCTCAGTTGTACTTTGAGTGCCTGAGGGGCTCATCTTCTGATACTAAATCTGACCATTTTTTGCTGCTATTCATAAGGTTTTCATGGACTAATCCCTTACAATTAGACCACCTAATCTTTCTTCCCAGTTTATTCTTCATCTGAAAGTTGCACTGAAACATCTCCTCCACAGGCAACCCTGCTGGTTTCTGAAACCCCAGTGTCATAGCTTAAATCACCGTAACAACTCTCAAGCCATTATAGTATGGCAACCTGACATGGAGCAACACTCAAGCCACCACAGCACAACTGGCAAATATGGGGAAACCATAAGAATCGGACTCCAAATTCTAAATATATCTTTAAATAAAATAGTAAAAGACATTATCCTACCACACGGAAATCTTTGCTAATTTAAAGTGAGAGATATAATACTATCCAATTCCTGGTGTGGTGCTGTAGGATCAGCACTGGAGATCAAACCACAAGATCAGCAGTTCAAGCCCACCAACTGCTCCTCAGGAACGCTGTACATTATTGCTATGAGTCAGAATCGATTCAACGGCACTTAACAACAATATATAATGTTTTATTATTGTAACATTAATTCATTTATACAAAATCTAAATCACTATGATTCTGAAGGACTAATGATTATAAAATCATTTGTAAAAGTGATCTGTGGTTTATCTTGAGTCCTACCATTGGGGTGAAGATGTAATCCAGCCCCACTTGTGCTTCCAAATTCTGTGCATACACAAACAAGGAAACATGGCCAAGAGCCCCTCTGCTCCTCTGGGCTACCACAGTTGCACTTCCCTGTGTTTCATTTACTTCAAACCTATGACAAAGTAAAAAGAATATACTCATTCCTTTTTTTTTCCTTTTAAGGTTATTTCATAGATGGTAAAGAATGGGTCTTAGGTTTACCTGCTATGTTGCCATTCAATTACACCTTGGGCACCATCATTGGCATTGATAATAATTTGAGCAGTCAAGCCTTCTGAATCTGAAAATCACATCAAAAATATCATTGAAAAATAAACGACTAATAAAAACAAAATTATATGTGAAATATAAAGGCAAACTGTTCAAGATTATATCATCCCTAACATGTAGGTATTACCAACATTACTCAAAACAGGTTTTCAAATATAAAGACATAAATGTTTATAACATCAAAATGAAGAAACTTTTTGCTAACAAGAGTCACTGATTTATAGAATAGTAATAAATTGAGAACAGTATAGTAAGAAATACTGTTTATAATAATAAACAATTGAGGTTACGAGTTTTTTTTTTTCTGTTTTAACATTCAAAAAATGTATATTTGGCACCACTACCATACATTATCACATTTCAGGAGAGAAGGACAATGGGGGCATTTGAAAGGCATATAAAGAATAAAATAAGAGAGGAAAGAAGTGGGAAGAGCAAGACAGGGAGAGCTCCTTAGAGAAACACACATAGGAAAAAAAGAGAGAGACTGCGATAGAAACAGAAGTTGAGAGACACAGAACTGATGAAGAAAAGCTTTCATGGTATAAAGACTCAGGTAAACATAGACCCTGGTGGACTGCTAACTGCAAGGCCAATGGTTCAAGCCTAAAAGCTACTCTTGGAAACCTATACAGGGTCACTATGGGTCAGAACCAACTGAACAGCACACAATGATAATAATAACCAGGTGTACATAAACTACCTAGTCTAACTCTAAAACCAAGCCAAACCCACTGCCATCTAGTGGATTCCGATTCATAGCAACCCTATGGAGAATTTCTGAGACTGTAAATCTTTACAGAGGAGACAGCCTCATAATCTAACTCAGATAGGCAAAAATTCTGTATTCTGCCCATCAATTTCAGTACATACCAATGTTGTTGCTGCAAAATGTTGTCAAGTTGGTTCCAACCCATAGCGACCCTGTATAGGGTTTCCGAGGAGCGACCGGTGAGCTCGAACTCCCGAACTTGTGGTTCAAACCAACTTTGCAGTCTGGCGCATTGACCCACAGCACCACTGAGTTTTCAAATATTAACTGTTGTTGTTAAGTGCTATTGAGTCGGTTCCGACCCATAGCCAACCTGTATAGGGTTTCCGAGGAGCAGCTGGTGAGCTTGAACCACCAACCTTGCAGTTCAAACGACTCTGCAGTCTGGCGCATTAACCAACAACACCTCACTACTACCTTTTAAAAATACTTCAACTGTCCTTTATCTTTTTTTTTTTTTTTAATGATTTATTGTTATCCTTTATCTTTTAAACTTTACAGGTCAGACCTTAGTCCAGTATGCTTATGGAAGCTGTCTAAGTAGAACATGGGTAGTTGTTGTTGTTAACTCATAGCAATCCTATATAAGGTTTTCAAGGAGCAACTGGTGGGTTTGAACAGCCAACCTTGTCATTAGAAGTCTAGTGATTACCCATACAGTGCCATACCAAGACTCCTGCCCCAGGAATAGAGCATGTTTAATTCTCTCTTGAGAGAAGAGAACAAAATTGTTGAGAAAATAAGATGAAAGTAGGATGCATGCCTATCAGACTAGTGGCTACATATCACAGATTATAAAGTCAGGCCCTGCCAATTGAATTCCAGTCTTATCATCTACCAGCTTTGGGCATGTGACTCAGCCTCTGTTAGACTGAGTTCTCTTATCTTAAAATGGGCATATGCAAATAATAGTGATGCTACTTTACAAAGCACTTGGGAAAGGAACATTCAACAAATAACTATTCTAATCATTTCTAATATAAGTATGAAAAACTGTAATGTATTTTGTTAGTTTTCTTAAAAGGAAATCTATTTAACTCTTATTGTTTTATTTTAAATTATTTTACATCAACAACCTAGTTGTTGGAAGTGTATATTGCTTTTGCAAAAGAATTGAAACTGTTTAAACAATATATTGCTGTTGTTGTTAAGTGTCATAAAGTTGGTTCTGACTCATAGGAATGATGTAAAAATGTATCTCCTATGGAGTGGCTAGCGGACTCAACTGTAGACCTAGTGGTTCTCAATCGTATTGAGCCACTGTGCTCCCCAAAACATCCATTAGAAACTTCCTGTTGCCTTTCAATACTTTCAACGTTGTCATTGAGTCCAGCAGAATGAGGAAGCACTATTCCTCAGGACACTGTTCTTGACCATATATCTTTGACCATGTTGTTTTTGTTCAGTACTATCAAGTTGGTTCCAACTCATACTGACCCTATATAGAGTTTGCGAGGAGCAGCTGGTAAGTTTGAACCATTGAACTTGCAGTCAAACTGACCTTGCAGTCTAGTGCCTTATCCTGCAGCACTGTACCAGCCCAGCTTCATTTGCTCTATTCCAGACACATCTAACCAATGGATATGAAACAGGCTATCCTCAGTGCTATTCACTCCCACCCCCTAATGAGACATCACACCTAAATGCCTCAGACACATTACCAAAGAGAAGTTTCCAAATCACAAATAAGAGGCTGTCTTTTAAAAATAAGAATATATCTTTTTAAAGAAAGCTATATAAATTTGTACTATCCTCACATTTTACCTTTCAATCTGTAATGAATTGAGTCTTTTCTAAAAGCATGAAAAGAAAAAGATAAAAGGTCAAAAAGCAACAGAGAACACAGCAAACAAAAGCCCTCTGTAATTTAAAAGAAAATAAAACCATCTGATAGTCTAATCTCTGATAAAAATAAATAACCAAATTTTAAAAAGAAATTAAAAGGAAATACCTTCAGAGAACTCCGTGATGTAAAAAATGAATTACATTTGAGGGCATAAATTTGGTTATAAAGGACATTAAATAGTAATTATTAAATGTCTTAATTGTTGTTGTTGTTGTTGTTGTCAGGTGCCATCGAGTCGGAACCAACTCATAGCGACCCCATGTCTTAATACTGGTATAAAATTAAAATAAGTCTAAAAAGCCAAACATTTTCACACATACCTGAGATTAACAAACATCATGAATAACCCTCATTTTAAAAATAAATTAAATACCATTTTTAAAAAATGAGGTAAATATTTTTATATTTGAGGAATAGAAAGAAAAACAAAGCAAAACACAAATCATACCTAGTCTGGGAGGAAATGAAGTTAAAGGAGCCATGGTAAGTTCAACATAAGTTAATTTCACCAGGAAATATTCTTCTAACTCTGGTATATCATCCTATAATAATAACAACAACAATAATAACAATACATTCATTAAAATACATATCATTAGGCTCTTAAAATGATTCTTTCACATGCTGTTTTTAAATTATTTTAAAAGGTATAGAGAAAATGTAAAAATATAAACCTACAGTTTATGTTTTAAAATAAGCATAAACTAATTAAACTAATCCTTAGTTATGTGATAAATTATTAGGCTCAACCATACAAAACTGCTAATATTATCAATTCTGACTCATATTGGCCCTGGAGGATACAGTAAAAGTGTCCCATAGTTTCCAAGGTTCTAAATCATTATAGAACCAAGATACCACATCTTCTTTCTGCGAAGCAACTGGTGCGTCTGAACCACAGGCTTCTATTAGTAGTCTAGACCTTTTGACCATTTGGTTTGCAGCCTAGCACTTTAATTAATCTTTTTTTTTTTTTACATAGACCAGGGGTGGAGAATCGTTTTTCTCCCAAAATGTATAACATAATTCACAAGTCATACAAAACTACCATTTTTAAAGTTACCCTATTATTATTTGGTCAAACATTTAATTAGCTCATCCCTAGCTTACCTGTCACTCCTCAGAAACCCTATATACAGGGTCACTATGAGTTGAAATCGCCTCGATGGTACTTAACAACAACAATAAATGTGATGGTCCTGGTGTGGTGCTGCAGAATAATGCAAGGACTGCAAGGTCAGTTTGAACCATAAAGTCAGCGGTTCAAGCTCACCAGCCAATCTTCAGAAACCCTACACTATGAGTCACTATGAGTCAGAACAGACTCGAAGGCACTTAACAACAACAACAACATGATGGTGGTGCTGCAGGTTAATGCAACTGAACTGCAAAGTCAGTTTGAACCGCAAAGTTGGCTCTTCAAGCTCCCAGCCGCTCCTCGGAAATGCTGTACAGGGTCAAGGTCAGAAGCTACTCAACAGCACTGAACAATATCAATGTGATGGAAGGAAATGCAGTTGACTTGACAGGGCCAGAACAAATGATTTCTCAGACCATAAAAGACTCGGATGTTTCCCACCTGACTGAGACTAATGTGGTGCTATAGGATAAGCACTTAACCATAAAGTAAGTGTATTTGAACCCCAAGGTTGGTGGTTCAAACTCACCAGCTGCTCCATGGAAACCCTATACAGGTTCGATTTGAGTCAGAAATGACTGGACGGCATTTAACAACAGCAACAATATAATATATAAGGAGCAGTGGGTTAAGTGTGGGGCTGCTAAAGTTCAGCAGTTTGAACCCACCAGCTGTTCTATGGGTGAAAATGAGGCAGTCTGTTTCTGCCAAGATTTATAGCCTCACAAACCCTGTGAAGTGCTCCTCTGTCCTCTTGCTGCTACTGTGTGCTGTTAAGTGAGTTCCAACTCATAGCAACCCTGTATAGGGTTTCAGAGGCTATAGACCTGTATAGGAGCAGAAAGTCTCATCTTTCTCCCATGGAGCAACTGGTGGATTCAAACTGCTTACCTTTGGGTTAGCAGTCCAAAACATAACCCACTATACCAGGACTCCTTCTACTCTGTCCTACAGGGTCAATATGAATGTGAATCCATTTAAAGGCAGTAGGTGGGTAAATAATATGTAAAACTACTATTGTTATTTTTGTTGTTGTGTGCCATTGAGTTGATTCCGATGCATAGTGACCTTGGAGTTCAAACCAACCTTGAGGTAGAGTGCTTGGCATACTGTGCCACACCAGGACTAAATATATAGTCATAATATATTCAAAACATAACATGAGCAAATGATTTTAAATAACCTTATCTTAAGTATTTAATAAGGAACTCTGGTAGCATATTGGTTACGAGTTGGGTTGCTAACATCAAGGTCAGCAATTTGAAACTACCAGCCATTCTGCAGGAGAAAAATGAGGCTTTCTGCTCCCATAAAGATTTACAGCCTCAGAAACCCTTTAGAGGGTTGCTATGAGTCAGAACTGACTCCACGGCATACTACCACCACCACCACCAAGTATTCAATGTTCAGAATGAGGAATGGAATAATACCATGAAAAATTACAGGTTTGTGATATGGACTGAATTGTGTCTGCCAAATTACATGTTGAAATTCAAATCCTTGCACCTATAAATATAATCCTGTTTGGAAACAGAGGTTTCCTTTTCTTACACTAATAATACCTTATCAATGTAGGGTGGGTTCCAAAACTAATCACTCTGAGTAAAAAAATTAATAATACAGACTAGACACAGAGACACACATTAGAAAGACGTCATATGGCAGGTACAACATCTACAAGTTCAGCGACACCAAGGATAGCTAGAGCTACTAGAAGCTGAGAGAGACAAAAAGGGACAGCCCCTAGAGTCAGACCTTGATTTTGAACTTCTGCACACTACTAAATTGTGAAAATATAAACTCTGTTCTTTTGTTGTTGCTGTTGTTAGTGTCGACAAGTCTGTTCTGACTCACAGCTGGTGAGTTTGAACCATTGATCTTGTAATGCAAACAAAACTTGAGATCCAGGGCTAATCCCAAGGCTCCACATCAGCCTTTGTAGCTAGTGAGTTACAATTTGGGTTGTTAATCACAAAATCAGCAATTCAAATCTACCAGCTGATCCACAGGAAAAATTGAGACTTTCTGCTCCAGTAGAGATTTGCTGTTGTTGTTAAGTGCCAGTGAGTTGGTTCCGACCCATAGTGATCCTGTATAGGGTTTCCAAGGAATGACTAGTGAGCTTGAACCACTGACCTTGAGGTTCAATC